AAAAAAAAAATAAAAAATGGGGCGGCCCAGGACGTTTGTCGGGTCCTAGCCGCCCCTCGAAAAACAACAGAGTGATTTTTAAGTGTCCTTTCACCACACCGTACATGGCCTAGAGGTCCAGACACAACTTGAAGACACTGCAAGATTTCGAGGTAAAGGGTTTCGCACAGACCCGAGCAATTTCAAAGCGGCTGTTACGACATGCCGCCTGCCGCTGTTGCCTGTTGGAAGAGAGAGAGAGAGAGAGAGAGAGAGAGAGAGAGAGAGAGAGAGAGAGAGAGAGAGAGAGAGAGCACTGCCAGTCTGAAGACTCTGACGTTCTGAATTGAACTGCGAAGTTCGAACTTTTAAGTTGTATATGAAGTTATGAATTTTTTTTTTTTTTTTTTTTTTTTTTTCAACAAGGCCTTATGGTCCTGGCTCCTTTCCATTCTGGGGAGCAACCGTCCGGTTCCTATTCCACCGGCAAGTCAGAATAGACATTACAATAAACATAAACCACCCACTTGCTTCCTTCCGTCTGATCGAAGGACCCCTGATCAACATTGATTGCTCCGCCTTGATGGAGGATTGACTGTCAGCTTGCCGTGCCTCACTCATTCCTCTCAGATCAGATAACCAGATCTGTCAGATAAATCACTGCCACCTAGAAAGAGTTCCCTCATTTGTCCAAGCTAGCCTTTGTACTCCCACTTAACTGTCCTGCCCGTGATCCACAATACCCTCTGTCCCATCTTACCTTTCCTCCTTTTATACCTCTCCGACCTGGCCACTTCCTCTTCTCCTGTTTTGTTTTTCTCCCCTCCTTCTCCCTTCTTCTTTCTCCTCCTCCTGTGTAGGTCTTCAGTTTATCTGATCCCATCTCTAGTTTGTTCCTAAAGCCCCCTTTCTCAAAAACCCTGAACCCTAAACCCTCGTCTGATGATAGAACTTCCCAGGCCGTCCGGAAGGCTTTTCCCATCCGTGAGGATCCCTTAAAACCCTTAATCCCTAGACCTTCAACTACTGTCATGCTGTATGACACCCTTACTCCCGTCTTGTCCACTCCTCTTAGATGTCTAATCGTGGAACGTCTTGTCTCTCAGCGGTTATCTCTTGTTGGTGAATCCTTCCTGGGGTTGAATTGTGCCAATCTTTCCAGTGAATATGGTCTTCACGTAGCTCTGTAATCTTGCCGTTTATCAACCAGTTTTTGCTGAAGGTCGATCTCGCCTTCCTTCGTTGTTCCTCGTCCTCCGTCCATGCCTGCTTGGTCTTCCTCCATCTGGAGAGGATTTCGGCTTGTATCATCACTTTTGTCTCTATCCACACTTTTTCGCGTGGGTTGGACAGTCCTTCAATCGTTYTGCTGCATCTTTCCTTCCATATGACCCATAGTGTGGTCTTTCTGATGAGACCAAACCAATTTTTTTCTGCCTTCTGAAACTGTTGAGGGATATTAGTCAAGAGGAGAAATTGGATGGGATGTTCGGAAAGGGAGTTGTGAAAAGGGAGTTCCAGAGTGTCGATGCTCTTGCCCAGTAGTCTGTTGCCTCCCTAAAATGTATTAGGCAGTGGATCATGTCCTCTATCGGCCCATTATTGCAGACCATGCATAATTCTGAGCTGTTAGGATCTGAATTCTTACGCCTCTTGTGTAGCCAGTGGTTCACTAGTAATGCAGCGTAGGTGATTAGCCATTGTAAGCTTCTGATTTTAATTGGCCTGATGAGTTTGAAGTTTGAACTTTCTCCACTGGATCTGTGTGATTTTGTCTGCCTCTTGGCCCAGTAGATTGTGCCGTCTTATTTTAATGATAGGGTCATGGTCCTTAGTTTTCAGTGATAGTCTGTACCCTAGTTTAACTGTATAATCGTGAATTGGGATTTTGGATTTGATATTTTTAGTCTTGTCTGGTATCCATGCCCATTCCACTGGGTCAAACTCTAAGTTGTGGATTGCTGTGTCCGGTCTGAAGATTGATTTGGGCCATGAGCCGAGGACTCTTATCTTCCTGAGTAGGAAATAGTCCAAGACTACCGACTCAACGTCGYTGTTCAAGATAGTCGGCATGCTGGCAGCAGTCGTGGAGATTGGGAAGGAGAGGAAGGTGGCCTTGGTTTGTGAGTCTTGTTGCATGTGGGAGAATTGGAAGGCTCTCGAAGGGATTGTTTCTTGTATCTTGATTCCCCATTCTCCAGGTTTCCATGGGGCTGCCTTTCTTAAGATATCTTTCCATTCTTGTGGAATAAGGCTGACAATATACTGGAGATTGGGTCCTCGTTTATGGCATCCTTTCAGTTGGGAACTAATTTCCTGTTCTGTCTTCCATTCTTTCCTGTCCTCATTGCATATGTGAGCGATTTTCCATATGCCACTTTTGACCCAGAAGAGCCATCTGTGTTCTAAGAAAAGGGGGTTGTTACCTTCATTTGCCACCCATTGGTTCCCGAAGAGCGGCTGCCTTAGTACTTCGTCTTTAGATCTCGGTCTGTTGGATTTGTTTGGAATTATTTTTCTCCAGATTCGAAGTAGGGCCGTCCAGTATGGGGTAGCCGGCCTATAGCCTTCTAGTCTGGTGTCTCTTGTTCGGTTTCTTCTGCCCGTGGCAGTTATGAACTTAAATTACTAAATCCAAAGTTCGAAATTCAAAGTTAATCATACTTTTTTTTTTTTTTAAATCTTTGTTTCTTTAGTCTTGTGCCTGCTTTGCACTGTTTGCAACTCTGCATGTCTGCTAGTTAAATGTGCTGGTTGATTTGCTGCAAGACACGTGCTCTGCTGCCTGAACTACAGAGTGCAAAGCAGGTAAGTGCCTCTGCTTTGCACTGTTTGCAACTCTGCATGTCTGCTAGTTAAATGTGCTGGTTGATTTGCTGCAAGACACGTGCTCTGCTGCCTGAACTACAGTGTGCAAAGCAGGTAAGTGTCTGCCAACACCCCCACCCAACTTTCCCCCGACCCCCGTTTTTTTTTTTTTTTGGGTCCGGACATTTTTTTGCACCCTGGGGACCGGTCCGCACTGTCCGGTGTCCAGTGATGTCCGGATCACCGGACAGTCCGGACCGGTCCAGACACTGGTCCGGAAGACAGTCCGGAAGTGTCTGGTGTCCGGGTCCGCGGTTACCATGCCGCAAATCAATAATAATAATAATTCAATAATTGCTGTTCTCCAGTTTTTTGCTTGAGTGTGCATTCAGACCAGGCGTGCTCCTGAGCGTAGGCGCTACAGCCTTTGTCGTACAGCCCACTCAGACCTTCAATGCACACAGCTTTCCTTCACCAGCCCCTACTATCCCACATCAAACACCAGTGCCACGTCAGCTTCCTGGTGCCCCATCAGTGCTTGGATGCCACATCGGCAATTGATTGCCACGTCAGGACGGTCCTATGATCAATAGCATGCCATATGTGTGACGAGGCAGAGGCAGAGCAGCCAGGCTGGGAGAGAGAGGGAGAGTGAGAGCACACACACACGCTCAGTGACACTCAACTTGACGCAGACTCGAACACGACTAGACAGACACAGACACAAAGTGGCAAAAGTTGCAAAGTCGCAGTCTCAAATTCCTGAACACAATGTCGAAGCAAAGTCGCACTGAACACAAACACTGAGGCTGAAAACATGGTGCCCGTACTGGGCTTGAGTCCGTACGTAAGTACCAGACTCCAGTACGGTCCTGAGGGCCAAAGTGAAAATGCCTCAGGGCCAGAACTGAAAACCGAAAATCTGAGAGTGGGCGCCAGAATGTCGGATGGCGCCAAGTGTCTGAGATCCGAAAGTCCCAAAAGAAGGAATTTGAAAACGGGCGCCAGAATGCAGATGGCGCCAACTGTCCGAAATCCGAAAAGCAAAAACGTTGCAAAACAAAAAAAAGAAAACAAATACACCAAGCTGGCGGGTGGTAACCCGCAGACCAGGGATCAAGCCCTGGCGGAGTCCGTAACACTATCCCCTCCCTCTAGAAGGCAATGTGCCGGCTGCCAAACGTCATGAAAATAATGCTGAATCCTGTGAAGGATGGGACGGGGCCGATCACTGGGAAGCAGGAAGAAAAAGGGAGAGGGGTATAATGTGGGTAGCAAGGGCTGGGGGAAAACAGGGTTTTCCTACTGATGAGCTACGGGGTATGCGTACTGATGGGCTATGAAGCTGTGAACCGAGAGGGAACAGAGTTTGCCTACAAATGAACTCAGGGTTAGGAACTGCAGGGGAACAAAGTTGTCCTACAGATGGACTACAGGGTTATGATCTGAGGGGGGAACACGGTTGTCGTACAGATGAACTACAGGGTTACATTGGGCGAAAGGGTGCTGTGAGCAAAAATAAAGAAAGGAAGATGATTTTGCAGGGTTCGGGGGTTGGGGTTTCTGAGGATCTCGAAATAAATGGGTTGGGGGGGGAAATCGGAGATTCTGCAAAATGGTATGGGTGAGAGTCTTGAAGCAGGTCTTGAAGTAAGTCGGTCTGGATAGACAGAATGCTGATGATAAACCAGTCTTCAGCAGGCTTGCGACGTGTAGTAGCGAGGTTTCCAGCTTGAAAGAAGTAGTGTAGCAGTTCAATATATGGAGGTCCAATTGCCAGGGTGCGTCCGGTACATGATCCTGATGATGGAGTCTGATCCGGAGAGCAGGGTGCAGACTGATCCTGATGTCCATGTCAAGAGTGCTGCTCCAGAAGTCTGCGAGTCCTGGTGCCAGCCAATGGGACAGCACGGTGGCCAACCAGCTGCTTAATCTCCTCAAACTGTGCTGGAGCACACCATCGTCCTCGTGCGCTTGCCAGTAGATCCTTTATCGCCGGCGATGCGCAGGAGCCACAGGTAGGGCTTGGACAAGAGAGACAGAGGATGTGGCAGAGGACAGATTAGGGAAAGAGACAGAGGCAAGAGCAGATCAGACAGAGAGAGGTCGAGGGGCAGGGGTTTTGCTGGGTGCAGGGGGTGTGTATAGAGCAATGAGGCAGGGTTTATGCAGGGTATAAGGGTGTTATGCGTAGCATATAGCTAGGATACAGGGTGAGCATGATCATAGGCACGATCAAGTTCATGGCGTTCTTGATATTATCGAGCCGGTGACAATCTTGTTCGGCGGGGTAGGGGACGTCAGCGGGAGGGGGGCAGGCAGAGTAGACTGCGACGCCTGGGGGTCGACCGGTGGAATTGTGTGCACTCCATGATCAAGGGTACAAAGTTCACATTGAGGAGCGGCCGGGTCCCACGGCGACCAAAGGAGTGGATGTCGCAGGTTTGTTCACGTGGCAAGTGAACTGGCCGGCGTTGGGGCAGTTTGTGTGCTGATGTCCAAGCTGTCGGCAACGAAAGCAGCCATTGTTGGCTTGCAGGTAGGCACGTTCCTCGGTTGTGAGTTTCTTGAGACGGGGGGGTTGGGTGGAGGAAGATGATCGAGCCATGCAGTCCTTGCGTTCCATACGCAAGAACTGGATGGTGTTGAGTTCCTCAGAGCTGAGGGACGCCGGGGGGGAGGAGTCGGAAAGGGTGTCAGGCTCAATGATAGGGGCTGTAAACTCGTCGGAGGAGGGAGACGCTACGGTGGTCTCATTGTGGAAGAAGCATGGACGGGAGGTGGTGGGACCGCGAATGGGGCAGAGAAGGCGATCGTGTTGAAGGGCACGGGTGAGGAGGTCGGTGAAGGACATGGGTGGCTCGTAGGCGAGGGCGAATGCGATGTCCTTGCGGCAGACCCGCTTGAAACGGGAAATGAAGGCGTAGTCGCTGATCTGGTCATGGGGAATGTTTTGGCGGAGGGTACGGACATATTGGACGAAGCGGTCCGTGGGGCCATTTTGGCGAAGCCGACAAAACTGGTCGATGTAGTCGTCGATTGTCTTTTGCGGGCCGAAGGTGGCGAAGAGGAGGGAGGCCCACTCAAGGAAGGAGAGGGGAGGCAAGCCGGCAGAGTGTCGGTTGGCGGATTCTGTGATCCACCATAGATGGGCGGTGTCGACCAGTTTGTTGATGGCGATGGAAAGCCAGTAGATAAGGGGGACGTTGTGGAGTGCGAAATGTTGTTGTAACTTGAAGAGGAAGAGGAGAACGTCGTCATGGGAGTGTCCAGAGAAGGTGGGAATGTCCTGGAGGCAGAACGATGCGGGAAGAAAGCCGGTTTTGGGGACATGGCGAGCGAGGGTGTTGAAGTCAAAGTATGTGGGTGTGGATGCGATGTGGGTGTAGTCGTAGGTGGGGTTGGTAGGGATAAGGTTGTTGGGGGGAGGCTGGGGGAAGGTGGGGAGGAGCGTCGAGGATGACTCGTAGGGGATTTCGGTGACTTGCGCGTATGTGAGTGGGATGCATGTGATGGTCGAAGTGGTCAGGATAGGAGCGGAGATGTGTTGGTGAGGAGGAAGGGAGGAAAGATGTGTGATGGCAGGGGTGGAAGTGGAAGAAGTGGGGGGTGGGGTAGAGTCACTGGAGGACGGGGTGGTTGGTGATGACGAAGGAGGAGGAGAGGTGGAGGGAGGAATGGAGGTGGAGGTCGGTCCGGATGTGGAAGGGGGTGGAGTTGTGGTGACCACGGTGATGGCCGGAGCTTGTTGCTCGAAGGCGGTCACGCGATCGGAGAGAGCGGAGATAGTTGTTCGCATGTTGGTGAGCATGTGGAGGATGGTCGAGAGGCCGGTGGCGATGGCAGGGCCGGCTCGTTGTTCGCCTGCAAGTTCACGAGCGAGACTACCGACGGACTGGGGGTGCATGGGGGACATGTTGATAGTGGAAGACTCAGCCATGGGGGTGGTGGGGGGTGATGCGGCTGTGGTGGCGATGGCAGCGACCGAAGTGGCAGCAGTGGATGAGGCAGCAGCGAGTTCACCGTATTTAATTGTAGATTAATGGAATTTATTCCAGAATAATTGATGAATTAAAAAAAATATTTTGCAGGGATTTTACAAAAGGAAAATGTTGAAATTTTGAAAAAAAAAAGGATAATTAATTCCGAATAAAGAAATTAATTCCGACGTGGATTAATTGAATTTTATTCGAAAATAATTGGTGAGTTCAGAAACACATTTTACAACAAGGGGAAAAAAAAACAAAAAACTTACAAAGGTGAAATTTCGAAACAAAAGAATTGATTAACTCCAAAATGTTTCCAAATTAAATTCATCCCAGATTTATTGAATTTATTCGAAAATAATTGATCAGGTCAGAAATACATTTTACAAAAATAAAAAGGTGAAATGTCAAAAAAGAATTGATTAACTTCGAAATATGTCCGAATTGAATTAATCTCGGATTAATTAAACGTATTAAAAAAGAATTAACAGATTATATTTTGCAAGAAAAACATCAAAAACCGGAAAAGGTTGAAATTCCAAATTAATTCGGAAGTAATTCCGAGTTAATTTCGAATTTCGAATTGATGAATTCTTAAGGGGAGAACTGTAACAAAAAGATTGAAAATTCAAGGAATTTGATTAATTGCCGAATGAATATCATTTGTAATTCGAAAGTAAAGGGATTGAAGAGTGAGATATCAAAAATTTTACAAATTCCAAATTAATTAAAGTAATCCCGAATGAATTTGGAAAGAATGAATTAAGATTCGAATTTGTATTTGGGGTATTTAAAAAATGATATTCGGAAAACATAAATCGAGGGAGAAGCGATCCTAGCTATGGGCGGGGAAAAGTACTAGTTAGTGATACTAGGAATAGTAGGTGTAGGGGAGGGGGGGAGATATCAGTTGGGCGCAGAGTGGTGGGGGGGAATGC